TTTGGAAAAAGCCTTCTACACAATCCAAATAATCCCACGAAAACAATTAGCAAGGTAGAAGCTGAACACAAAGCTGTCAAACCAGTGCTTGCACATCTGCGTGGAGTGTTCCACATCTGAACATGAACTGTCACAAGAAGGTCCTGGGCAGGGAAGAGTACCACCAGGGCAAGGAAGCAGCACAATTCCCTTTAAATGGCTAAACAGCTTGGTGATTCATTATCAGGTAATCCCTTTGCCACGGCCAACCTAACAGCAGTGGATATGTCAAGTATTGTGTAACATTTGACACCCACTAATCTATCCCAAGTGAAATCAAAATAGATTTAGTCTTTTGTTTTCCAATGACTTCCATGAAAAAAAAAATCTATTACTAATCCCTTCCACAAATGTTCACAGTATAGCTAAACAAAGCTTACTACAGAGCTATGGGTTTTGAAAGGGGCACTTTACACCTGGGTTGCACCTTTGAACCACTCAGCAATAACACTTGCTGCTGTCACCATAAAGTAACCTGAAGGACCAGAAAACTGGGAACAGGCTTTGGTCTGTCCAAGAACCAATCTTCTTCTCCGAAAGTGGCCCACAGAACTAAGTGTACTGACAAAGTATATGACGTTAGATTAAACCATTTCAAATAGTTTGTTTACCACTAAAATAATAAACGTCAAGAACATTTATATAAAAATTCAAGTGTAATGTGGTCATCACAACATTTAATATTCGATATTCTGATCAGGAAAAGATAATGTGATGATGCAGGTGACTACAGGGTTGAGCCACCAACTTCCAGATGTTAATGCGAATTTAAAGAGTAAGTTGGAGTTTTCTTTCTTTTTTTTTTTCTTTTTTTAAAAAAAAGCTAGCTGTACTTTTCTTCTCCTCATTTCCGAAGTGAGTTCAAGCACTGCCTCTCCAAACAAGAGGGAGAGAGAGAAAAGGGACTTTTCAATCATCCAGTACTGACTGAAATTTATTTCCACGCTTGACCTCTTCTTCTGTTCAGGTTCATATCTCTACTTAACACAAGATGTTCCCTGCTATATATTTATACGTGAGTGATCTACACTCAAAAAAGGGAAGGTACTCTCAACTGCAGGGAAACAACTGCATGTACTGAATAGGTTTTCCTAATACCTTGTTTCCAACTCTGTTTTCTACTCCTTCACATGTCCCATTGAGAACTCTGAGGCGTACCTCCACAGTTTGCAGACCTTCAGAAAACTTCTATACATGCTTTTGGAGCGCACTGGGAGATAATCTGTTTGCTTCATTAGAAGAGTCTAGACACAAATGGTATAACAAGCCAAACACTCCACAAAGTAAGTGCCAGTTTAAGTAGTGGCTGAGCTGAGGCAGCCAGTAGCACAGCAAGAGGACAGCGGTGTTACCTTTGGGATCCTTCTCAAATAAGAGTCTCTGTTGAGCTGGTTGAACACAGGTGCAACACAGGTGCAGCATCAAAAGCACACGACCCCAGGAAGTGACCGTTAAAAGCAGGCACATGTGTAGTGATGGATGACTTGTATCAAACAGGACAAGCAAACAGCAAATAAAGGCCAGGGAAGGACATGCCTGAAGCAGTGTTAGCAAGTGTGCTGGTGGTACCACAGTGCTATCCACTGTCCACTATCCACATTGCATTGACAGCTAATGAGTACCAGGCAGAAATTTTCTTCCTATTCCCAACCAGGCCAACTAATCTGTCTTACAATCACCAACCCACACACAAACATTTGTTTGAACTATAACTTCCATTAACCTGCTAATTGAAATAAAACCCTATACACTGACTTTTCAAACTAACACTTGGGAAAAAAACCCAAACAAACCAAAACACAGAACTGTTCTTCCAGTGACCACTTCATTCTCTGACAATTTTATTATCTTCCTTTTTATGGAAGTTATTTGGTTTTGGCCAAAAAAAACCCTACTGTTTCATTTAGGCCACACTACTGCAACTATTTATCTCGTGGGCTTCCAAATGAGGCCTGAAGACATAACTAGGAAAAGGTTTGGGGAGAACCAGTGCATACCATGCTGCTTCAAAACAAGTGGTGGATTATGCTAGTTTAACTTTCTGTTTAGGTTCTGCCACATCACATCATGCCGGTTTTCTTTCTGGATTCTTACGTTAAAAGTTACTTAACACCCTGAACTAAAGTCATAATTCTGGTACTCACATTTAAGCAAAATACCACTCTGGGCTTTGCACACAAGTTTTGCTTTTCCTCCAAAGGCACCTCTAAGAAGAGAAGGTGGCGCAACTTGGGATCATCAGTGCATAACACTCTCCACATCCCACACAACTACAGACATCCCAACAATTACTTCTCTCCTCTTCTTCACCCAATTCTACAGTTCTTACACTGGCAATTTTTTCCCCACATAATTCTATTCACACTTTTCCTTAAAACCAAAGGAACTAAGTCACTAACATGGAGCCAGGTATGACAAAGGCAGATGTTCTTCAGCCAAACACTTCAGAGTCTGTAGATAAGGCTTTGGAAGGCTCTTTCTACCCCATTCTCTTCACACATCTACCATAAGTTCTCATTTCAAATGAATGCTTTTGTTTTGCTGTTTGTCCCAAACAATATGTCACTTTATTTATTCAGTTCTAACGATTACACTTGATACTTTAATACCTTACTTTTTGGAAAGGGAACCTCACTTTCCCCTGCAGGTTATCAAACTCTCAGTTAGACCTCCTTTTGCATCTTCTATTTCTCCTCCTGTTTTTCTTCCACTTATTATGCCAATTGACTGACTGTAAACTCCACAAAATTATTCCCCATTGTCATCTATTGTAAATAAGTGTTACAGACAGTGAAAGTTGTTACAAACTAGGGGGAAAGGACGTTTAAACTCTTATCTTCAGATGGTTGATCAGCCTCTTTTTCTTCTTTTGGAAGCCCACGAGATAAACAGTTGCAGTAGTGTGGGTTTGTTGGGTTTTTTTTTTAATACAAATGAGGCAGAATTAAAGGGATAATTGGCAAAGTTATTATCAATATTATCTTATTTAACACCTTTATGGGGGAAAAGAATCTTCATTTTTATATAGCTATGCTTCCATATATAAGTAAAATGTCATTTACTACATACCCTTAATGACAGCTAGGAAATTTCTGCCACTAACCAACTCCGTAATAAGCGTGACCTTTGTAAATTTTGCAGGCATGCTTTCTGATACAACATGGCAAGATTACCCAATAAGCCAAAAATCCATTATTTCCCTTTTGTACAGTGTACTTGGAATGATACAAGGAAAAGAAATAAGGTATCAGCTGTAACCTATTAGCATACTGCATTCATTAGTATATCTGAGTCTAGTGTATTTTATCTTGAAGAATCACTGAAGACAACTAGTCACTAAAGCTTTGAAAATAGCACATGACTAAGCACAACGTCAATGAATACTGGCAACACTCAGAGTAAGGCGGCTTTCTGTATGCCACGCCAACCGAGACCATAGATGCAGCTAGCCATAAACTGACATTACACAGAGCTACTATGTTTTAACTCAAGACATTTTGAAGTCTCCATTCCACAAGCTAAATAGAATTTAATAAAAATCTCAAACAGAACACAAATGTGTTATAAGAAAAATTTATAAAAATCACATACTTCAACAAAATAAACTTATTAAAGTTGGCACAATCCTCTTAGAATAATTAAGAACAGACAGACAGCAGCCTGTTCATAGTTAGGGCTGCAAACTAAGCTCTAATTTTAGCCACCACCTTTGACTTTGGCTAACAAAACTGATTTTATCTGAAAATTGCTAAGTTTGCTCTGAAAGCCAAACAGCAGTTGTCTGGAAAAATCAAATAAAATTGGCCTGGTTTAGAATTACCTGTCATTATGCAATTGCCATGAATTGGAATTTTAGTCTACATCTAATTTTACTTCTCTCTCACAAACTCATATCATAACTATCCTTTCAAACCTTCCACCACACAAAATGTCTTTCAAAATCCTTTTGTGTACCTTTTTTGAAGAAAATCAAGTATGCAGACAGCTAAGCATGAATGCTAATTCATCTTATCAGCACAGGACAGCAGATACTCATAAGCACTTGACATATTAACATAAAGGGGTTTGTTTGTGGGTTTGTTTTTTTAAGTCTCACTTATTTTTCTTCACAGAAGGTAGCACCTATCGTGGTTTAAGTCACTTTTTTACAGTAAGAAAACTGTGGTCATGACAAACTCATAGCACAGTGCCACCACCATATAAGGGGAAAAAAAAAGGGGGGGGTGTGGAAGCAGCAGGGGGCGGGGGAG